TCCACACAAAAAAAAAAATTGGGTTCCCCTTTACATCAAAATTCTGCCTTTCAGAGCAGGGTTCCCATGTACATCAGGAGCCCCCCCTTCTTTCACCTCCGGAGACTCTTCATATCAAAGGCATGACTCTGTGTGAACATTTCAAGGCACCCCTAAGGAAGCCTGAAGGTTGAGAAAGGCTGTCCTAGACTATAGGATAGGGAAACTCCAGCTGTGGTGAAAATACAATCCCAATCATGTATCTGCCTCTGGGAGTCATGCTTGTGGCTGTCTTGCAATGCCTAATCCAGACAGTATCGGACTAGAGTCTTCAGTACTAAATCACTCAAATTGACCCTTCGATGCAATTTGATTTTTATCTATGCCTAAACTTGTCCCTTAAAAGGAAATGCATGATCAAACTCACATTTAGCAATGCCGGATAATACACCTATGCATTTAGCAATGAAATGCGTTGTAGGCACGAACACTGCTCATTGGGGCAAGGTAATGACCTCATTCACCCAGGTGACCTCCGACAATCAGAGCCTTTCTCAGGATGGATTCCTGCATCAGTGAAAGAGAGGGTTGGGTGGCCTATCAAGAAGCACTTCCACTCTGCCCTGAATGCCCATAAAGGAGAACTATGGGGTTAGGGCTTTTCCCCATAGTTCTCCTAAGGGTAACGGGAGGACACAAACTAGCGTCCTCCCGTCACCCTAAGCTCAGTATACCGCGAGCTAAAGCTCGCGGTATACTGAGACGCCGCAGCTGAAACGAATCCCGACAATTATGTCTGGATCCACCCAGCTGCGTGAGTGACAGCTGGCTCTGCCTATCTAGAGGCAGAGCCAGCTGTACCCGCCCCTGTCCGTTCCGCCAGTCAGCGCTGAAGGATCGGACAGGGGAGGGGGGAATCCAGTCCCTCCCCCTGTCACAGCTCTCTGCAGTATCAGGATCGAGAGGTGAGTGAACGCCGGTATGTGTTCGCTCACCTCACGATCTACTGAGCCGACCTGTGACAGTCTCATTGTCACAGGTCGGCTAGAACTATGAGGATGAGTGAAAAGCACTCACCTCATAGTTCTTTTAACATTTTTTTTTCCCCTGAAGGTAATTAGTTAAAAAACAAAAGCTTTACTGAACTCTGAAGCTACACTACAGAGACTTCACAATGTAATGTGTCATAGGGCAAAGTCTCAAAAATAATGACAACATATGCCAAAAATGTACATGGTGAAATTCTCATATCAACTGAAGTGGACCATTCAGTAGCTTTAGATACCTGCAGGGAAACATTTCTAACATGTTACATTATACAGCGACAGCATCATTTAAAAAAAATACCAATTCCTCAGTCTCCTTTCCCCCCATGATCAGACCGCCACATTGTAAGTGTAGGAAGTCACAAGGTTGAATGGGGCTGATCTGTGTCAGAAATGGTGAACAAAGCCAAGAACTGCACACCAAGATTTACATGACTGTATCATATTAGAGCCAGGGTTCTGTCGAGAACGCCGACCCTGACGCATTTACCTACCTCGTTAATCCCGTGCGCATTGACCGGGATTAATGAGGAAACGCATTTATTTAAAAAGTATTCATTTGTAATTGTGGCCGTTAATAATGTGCAGTAAATGATGGATGGCACTTTTCACATTCACAATTACCATCCTAAAATATTACATTATTATGTAATTGCTTACGATAATAATTGTGAATGTGCATAAAATGGCATCTATCATTTACTGCCATGGATGGCACATTACTAACGGCCACAATTACAAATGAATACTTTTTAAATAAATGCCTCTTTCCGTGTTAATCCCGGTCTGAGAGATGCAGATGCTGAGTCGGCCAATCTGACGGAGTTGGCGTTCTCGACAGAACACCGGACTCCCTGTCAAGAAAGTAGACGGCAACCCTGGATGATGTCTGAACAAAGACGATGTCATCCTTCTGGAGATAAAAGCAGGACCAAGACATTGCTGTGATCCCTGTGAGAGGTAACAAAAACCTGGAAGTGTTACAGTTCTACGTTACTTAGCATGCATGCACGCACGCACCAAGAAAAAGTATGAGGCTAAGGCCATCAGGAAATGACATGTAATACTACAAGACCAATACATAAAACTGGATCTAAGGAGCCCTAAATCAGGAATTGTGTTGTGTGATAGTTTAACAGTTACAAAGTATAAAGCTACCTTACCGACCAAGTTGTACTGCACCTTCCTGGTACTCCCTTATTCTAGAACAGGGGTAGGCGACCTTTCCACTCCAGCCGTGCGTGGTGAAACTACAAACCTCATTATGCTTCTGGGAGTCATGCCTGTGGCTGCCAGACACTTGCAATGCCTCATGGGACTTGTAGTTCCACAAACAGCTGGTGTGCCGAGTTTACCCACCCCTGTTCTAGAATGACAATGCCCCGATGCCTCCCCAACCACCAGTTTAAGGAATATGTGCAAATTACTGGAGTACAAAATAAATTTGTATCCCCTTCATCCCCAAAATAATCTGAGGCTTTTCCTCCTGTGGGTACAGGAGGCCCCCCAGCACACTTTCAGGCAAGTCGGCAACAAAAACAAACTGATCTGATGAACTTCTCGGGTTAAAAACAGAAGTTTTAGCTCCATATATTTGCAGATGTACGGGGAAGCAAACTGCTGCATCATGGCGCCTCTGAGAAGTGCGGCCCCTATCCTCTAACGACTGCTTTCTTCTTGAGAATTGTTGTTTTTGCCCTTCAAGGGGAAAAAAGACAGGTCCACTTTAATAATATCCTTTTTTGGTAAACTTGGCCTTTTGTATACAAGTCAAAGTAGAATTTTGCAACAATGTAATAATAATAATTTAAAACAAATCCCATAGCCCAGTCTACTGGACCTATTCCTAGAAAGCAGAGACTTTTTCTTTTATTTTAGGTTTTTCTTTTTTTATTTGATTTGTCATATATTCACACACTGCCTAATTAGCACCAACACCCAGCACAGCCTTTCAGAGCAGTGAGCTATCTGGGTCAGTCATGCTTTGCTAATTCCAAATAAAGCGTATAATTCAATCCCTAACCAGTTAATTAAGCTTCCCTATGATGCTTTGCACACAGTCCCTGAGCGTCGTGCGCAATGGCTGTCGGGTATATGGATTATTTTCTCGTTACCTCCTGCCTGTTGGGCTTACAGGAGACTTCAACTCCCAGGATCACCAGCGCGGAAACGTCACCACACTGCAGCCAATCACAACTCCGCCTTTGAGAAAAGAACCGGAAGAAGCACTAACGTCTGGATGGATGTGGTCTCCGGCAAGATGGCGGCTGCCATGGTTTTTCTGAACAGGAATAGCTTCTAGCTTGGTAATTAAAGGGTGAAATGCTTAGCGTCCCATAATTATATATAGGGTAACATCCAGCTCCGGGTTAAAGGGTTAAATGGGACTCTGCAGTCTATGAAACCAGTAATACAACAATCAGGCAGAAGCAGAGAAGCTATGTCCTGACTGTGGGACTTGGGGGTCCCAGACAATGAGCAGTATTGAGGTACTGGCCCCAAAAAAGAGGGACAAGTGGTAACTATGCAGTTGGTGATAGCTAGTGAACTGTTCATTGATGTGGCCTAAAGTCAAAGTAACAGGTACACTTAAAGGGTTAGTTCACCTTTACAATAAAATTGTCCATGCATTCCAGTGTCCCCAGTTCCTTTTTTTCAATGTCATGCCTGAGGCTGTAGAGCGGGGGAGGGGGTGATGCAGTAGGATGGGCGGTTGTGTTAGAGCCAAGCTGTCAGCGGCTCTCTGTCTGGTCCTGCCTAGCTCACTGATGTCACTGGTTGCCAGGAGCTCAGCAGGATGCCAGCCAGAGCATCCTTGCTGAGCTCCTGGGAACCAATTACATCAGTGAGCTTGGCAGCCCGGCTCTAACACAGCCAGACAGAGCGTCTAGCAACCTGGAATGATGTGGCTGCCCATTTGCCGCCCTAAACCCCGCACACCCCCACCCCCTATTGAGATGCCGCCTGAGCACTTGGCGGAAAATAACGATCCTTTTGGCCAACTAGTCCATTGCATTATATCATAGTGAATTACGTCTCATGCTTCTTCTCTTTTGGCTGTGTTCACACCGGCCTTGAATGTAGAAGTGCCGTGTTCAGGTCTGCACAAGATGCGGTGAGTGCATAGGTGGCTACTGGGCCACTTTGTTTGGTGCACCCTGTCATATAACCAATCTAGTGGGGGGAGGGGGGCTCTTAGTGTTGAAAATGTGCCCTTGGCAGATCTAAAAGACACACATTTGCTCAGGTATTCAAGAGTACAACTCAAGCAGTGTAAGTTCCAGAATCTGACCTGGTATTAGCCTCTTGCATTCCCTGTACAGCAGAGCTCAAACTAAGAGAGGGATAGAAAGCAATACATGCCAGTTATTTGTGCTGCATTGCTCATGTGCTTACAAGGAACATGCTGATAGGAGTAAAGGTCAGAGTGACAAAGGGATGAGTCATCAGTCTGCTGCTTTTGCTTCTTACTGTCCAGTCACAGGCTGGGGGGGGGGCCAGACCTGTTAGTACTACTGAACTTGCAACAGCGAAAAAAAATCAGGTCTCACTGCCCTGCCAGACTGGGCTGTGCTTTGTAGCAGAGCTGTTTAAATCTTTCAGAACTGACTATACAGGGATGCAGATCATTCAGCAGATTAAGCAGCTCCCTATAGAAGTATTCCATCAGTGTACTTGGCTGTGTGGTCGGAGTTCAGCTTTAAGCGCATGCTTGAGTCTGACCTAATTCAGCGAATGCGTCCACATCTGCGTAGCTCGTCCACGGCTTCAGTCCTGTGTTAGCAATCTTTGCATTCTGCTCCAGCGTTCCTCCTCCCCCTCTCCCACACATTACAGGCCACCTTAAGGATTTATGATTGACGTTAACGTTTGAAGTGAAAGGGAAAAACAACCCTTTGAAATCGGCCGTGGCGTTCATCCTTTGATTCTGTTTAATTATTTTTCTTTTGCTTTGATTTATCTGTTTTAGATTTAATAAAAGCCGCGGCGGAATCTTCCTCCCTGCCAGCACAGCTGTCACAGACGTCTTCTGTGCGTCCCCCGCACGAAATGAGAAAGACGCAGTGAAATTCCAGGTCAATTTTTTTTGGGGGGGGATGTAAGGTTTTTTTGAACCAGAGGAAACCCAGAACCGCTGAATGCAATGTCTCAATTTTATGACAACGTAACGCATATATGCGGCAGCATGACCAGCGGGCCTTAAAGGAGAACTGTGAGTCGAGTGATATTCACTCACCTCATAGTTCTAGCCGACCTGTGACAATGAGACTGTCACAGGTCGGCTCAGTAGATCGGGAAGTGAGTGAACACATACCGGCGTTCGCTCACCTCTCGATCCTGTCACGGCAGAGAGCCGTGACAGGGGAGGGGCTGGAATCCCCCGCTCCGATCCTCCAGCGCTGACTGGCGGAACCAGCTGTCACTCACGCAGCTGGGTGGATCCAGACATAATTGTTGGGATGCGTTTCAGCTCAGGCGTCTCAGTATACCGCGAGCAGCAGCTCGCGGTATACTGAGCCTAGGGTGACGGGAGGACGCTAGTTTGTGTCCTCCCGTTACCCTAAGGAGAACTATGGTGAAAAGCCTTAACCCCATAGTTCTCCTTTAATGCCTAGCTGCAGCATAATGTTCCACTGTGTTGTTCTGGGAAAGCGAATGCAAACGCACTCATCAATTCATGACCAGCTTTAAAGCAAGGTGCACATGGAAGGGCTTTAAAAAGTTCAACAGCAAAAAGTTTCCCAGCACACTCACCAGCCAGCATGCAAAAATACACCAGCTACTAAGGTTAAAAACAGAGGTCTTAGTTGCACGTCTTTTGCAGGATATGTAGAATCTGCACTGCCTCGTCAAGGCTCCTTCCTGTAGTGTGGTCCTAACTCTAATCTATGAGACCCTCTATTTCGGAGCATATATAGCAAAGGATGAATTGGGTGCAGGTCCGCCAGGAGGCAGCCCAACCCCTTTAACCACTTGCTGTCCGGAGAATTTTCTTACATTTGCGCACACATGATAAAATATAAAGTTTTGGCTAGAAAACAGCTTCAGACTCCCAAACAATGATATGTTTTCTGAAAGCAGAGGCCCTGTAGTACAAAAAAGATGCTAGTTGCAATTTTTTATGTTGCACGGTATTTGCGCAAATGTATTTTTAGGATAAAATACACTAAAATTAAATGACCACAATGTACAAATGATCCGGCAGCTGCATAGACACAGGGACACACATTGGCAGCTGAAACCCCCAGTGTGTTGTTCTGGGGTACGCTCAGTTGGCATCCCTAGAAGTGTGACTGAGCTGTCATAACAGCTCATGGTCAGCAACCAACGATTGGGAGCTGGTTGGACGGGCTTCTGATTATGTCATCACAGTGAACGAATAAATGGGAGCACCTCCTACTGGCCTCCAGCATCATGGTCCACTTAAAGGGGCTCCCACTGGTGGCAGGGGGTTAAGATACAAAAGGAGACTACAAGTCATTGTGATCAAGGTTGGTCTAGTCCTCATTCACATTGGCCTCCTGTGTTCACAGAAATCAATCAAATTTTAAACTTCCCAGATCAAGTTCCCCTGCGTTTTAATGTATGTGTTTTTAGCCACGTATATGATCTGCCCCTGAACAGCCAGATTTCTGTTTTTTCTAAACACAGCTAAAATGCGTGCACCTAAACAGAAGTAACTGCACAGCAAATGATACCATTTAAAGGGTTAGTTCACCTTTTCTCAAAAAATTAGAGTGAGCTAACACACAAACAGTCTTGTCGCCCCCCCCCCCAACCCCCCTCCAAGCCCCTGTGCTGCTCACTGTTCTCCTTGCTGGAGAAGAAGCTGTACCTGAGGACCTGCAATACAAGGATATCCATGCTGCTGATTCCTTCATTATGTGGATATAAGCTTCTTCCCCCTCTACTGCTGCTTTTTGAATACTCGAGTAGTGACCACAGCTTATTGGCTGTAGTCACTGTTCAGCTGAGAATGTTGGGCCCGTCTCCTTCCACAGAAGCCGATTCAAATCAACTTTTGCCGATTAGTGGGCTACCGACTTTGCCAATACACAGTTCAGATATCTGATTTGACCGAAATTCAAGCAGCTTAAGAAAGCCAGTCGAGGTCAATGTCAGTTTTTTAATGTATGATTGTATTTGTTTTGTGATTGTAATTGTTCCATGTCTACTGTCTTTATAACAAAAATGAATTTCTGTTTAGGTCGCTAAAAGAAAATGCGTCATCTCACTTCCCTGTCGGCCTGCCCTGCCCTCTGGCGCTCTCTGCCTTGCCCATCCTCTGAACTCCGGCTGGATTTTGTGCTTCCGGGTGGCCAATCTTTTCGGTATGTTACTGTATACAGAGACACCAGTGCCAGACTCCTCTGTTGTTGACTGCCAAGGCTGGTTCTGCTGTCAAGTGACTATTCTCCAGTCATCTCCTTTGGCAGATATCATGTGACCAAATGAGTAGGCATTAAAGTGACATTAAACCCTCAGATTTTTTTACATACAACAATACTGTAATGTGTGCCTTACTGTAATCCATGGTAGTTTCCCTTCTCTTTGCTGCTCTTCCTTTTAAATCCTCATGTCTTCTCATGCTTGGGGAGAACTTCTCTTTGCATCTCAGGGCCTCTTCCTGTAGTGCTGGCTCAGGTTACAAACCTATACACAGACACCATGTATCCATTCCTGAGACAAGGCAGTCTGCTGCAAAACAGAAGTTCTGCCGAGCATGAGAAGACATGAGGATTTAAAAGGAAGAGCAGCAAAGAGAAGGGAAACAACCATGGATTACAGTAAGGCACACATTACAGTATTGTTTTATGTTAAAAAATCTGAGGGTTTAATGTCACTTTAAGTCTTATGAGTGACCCCTGGGGGATCCTGTAGCAAGGGAATTTTGTGTCTACTTCCTTTGAGAGAAAATATTTTCAACTTGCACACAGTTTGAGTTACTATTGTGCTGTTTACCCTAAAGTACTTTTCAATGTGACCTTCACATGTCTACTCATTTGCTCTCTCATACTTGCCTTGCATTATATATGGAGATTTTTGGTTTAGCCACTAGAGGTAGCCACACAGGGAGTGCATTGTTTTTAGTGAGTCTGCCAACTCATAGACTTGCATCAAGCAGGACATCACAACCATTGTGTAGTACTGCAAAGCAGGAAGCAGAGCCTGTATATGTACAGTGGCGCCACAAGGGGGGTGCGGTCCGCACCAGGTGACACCATCGTCAGTCATTTTGGTGTCACCCACTCTGAAAAGTCGGGCACTCGGTCACGGACCGAGAGCTCGACGGTTGCACGAGAGAGGAGGGGACCCGGTGGCATACCTTATCCCGGCAGATTAACTTCCCCTTCACTCTTTGCCAGCGTCCATCACCAAGAAGTCTGGAAGTGGAGAGAGGACACCACTGTATTCCTTAAATTGGCTGTGCTGTGTATGAAGGGGGTGGCGTGGGGGATTAGGAGTGGCTGGACAAAAAAAATACAAATCCTTTGGGAGGTAAAACGGCTTCCTCATATGTAGTTTGGTCGCACACAGCAAGTTTCGCTGAGAAGTTTACTGTAGCACACAGGTACACTAAGCACATTATTGGGTGAAGCATGTCAGAGTGATGGGAATCCATTGCGGGATGATGTGTCCCTGTGCGCTACAATAAACTTTTCAGCGAAGCTTGCAGTGTGCGACTGACCTTTTTCCCTGTAAGTAACTGCTGATGCTGGAGCAGGACGGCTCGGCCGGTGTGCAACCGACATTCTCTTCAGTGCTGCTGTGAAGGAGCGGTGATATTGGGCTATAGGCTTCCTCACTTCATATTCTCAATGTATGTATTCTCAGATAGTTTGGTGTAATATGTGAACAGCTTATATTTTTCGTTCAGGTGGAAGGAGAGCAGTCCAGGTCTTTGGACCGGCGTGTTACATGGGCGTGTGTGGACCCTGACGCAGAAGGATGACCGCCTCTGGTACGCCGTGTACCCCAACACAGAGGAAGAGGAGGGGAAATCAGACAAGGGAACACAGAAGAAAGCCACAAAGAGAAAGCTGCAGAAGACAAACTACGGGGCCATCAACACTGAAGACATAAAACAAGAAGAAGACGATGGCTGGACAAATATTCCCATTAGTATTGACTCTAAAGACTGCAAGAAAGATGGTGAAATGTTGGAAGATTATTTCCAGCTGCACCTCAGTCTCAGGGAGCTCTATCGGCAGTGGGGAGAATCGGACGCCAACTTTCAGAAAGTAGCCAGAGAGTTTTCAGGTAATAATTTTACATTTACATCGGTATTTGTTTTATTTAACTTTATATTTATAACTAGGGATGAGCTCAGGTTGGGGCCGAAGCTGTGCCTCACAGTACCTGGAAGGAGGTTCCTTCCTGGTCTCCCAATCAGCTGCGATCAGGGAATTCCCCACATGCAGCTTGGTGCATGCAAAGAGGCGGGATGCAATGACCTCATCGACCTTATTTAGCAACTTGCCTATATTTGGTGAATGGCTTGTAGCTAATAAGGCTTTGTGGCCATATAAGGTAAATTACATCTGCAGAAGCATCCCACCCCTTTTGTTTACATACAGAGGAATGCCCGGCCGCAGCTGCTTGTGTAGAAATGCCCACGGAGGAGCTCAGGTTTGGACCAGGTTCGGCCTGAACCTAAACTTATCCCTATTTATAACTATTCTGCAGCATTTTTTAGAAATTGTACAAGAGCCGTCAACTTGAGTCTGCTGTCACTGCACTAGTCATACACACATACTTAAAGGAGAGTAGGGAATTTTTGGGGGTATTTAGAAAGGGAGATAATATTTAATTTGCTTAAAAATATATGGTATTTTTTTAAACTTGTCCTAAAGCTCGGGAAGTATTGTAAGCAGAAGGTCAGTCTAATAGCAGCTTGGATTTCCAGAATGTCAGCAGTGGTAGCCCCTGTATTTCCCTAATGACAGGTTCCTAACATATACAAACATGAGAGAAACATTTAAACTGCATAGAGATCATTTCCAGGGGGTAATCAAGCCAAGGACCCCAGTGCTACGACCTTGTATTGATGACCAATAAGACGCTCTGCAGCCCTGTTCTCCTTGTGCTGCAGCTGTGTGTTTTAATCTAAGTAGTAAAGCAGGGGTCCCCCCAAATGTTGCGGCATCAGTGGTCAGTGGGAGTAAAGAATGCCCCAGGGTTAGTGGTCATTCGGAGTAAAAAAAAACAACCTAGCACCTGCGGTAAGTTGGAAGATTTATAACGCCCCATCACTGATGTCAGGTGAAAGAATAATGTCTCATTGTTGGTATCATTGGGATTAATAGTGCCCCATCATTGATGTCATTGGGAGGAATAGTGCCCCATTGTTGGTGTCATTGGGAGGAATAGTGCCCCGTTGTTGGTGTCATTGGGAGGAATAGTGCCCAATTGTTGGTATCATTGGGAGGAATAGTGCCCCATTGTTGGTATCATTGGGAGGAATAGTGCCCCGTCATTGATGTCATTGAGAGAAAAAGTGCCTCATTGTTGGTGTCATTGGGAGGAATAGTGCCCCATTGTTGGTATCAGGAGGAGTAATAGTTCCCCATTGTTGGTATCATTGGGAGGAATAGTGCCCCATTGTTGGTATCGGGGAGGAATAGAGCCACATCATTGGTGTCATTAGGAGGACTAGTGCCCTTTCATTGGTATCAGTGGGAGGAATAGTGCCCCATCGATGGTATCAGTGGGAGGAAAAGTGGCCCATTGTTGTTGTCAGTGAGAGGAATAGTGCCCCATTAATGGAGTCAGTGGGAGGAATTTTGCCCCAAGGACTGGTTAAAGGAAGGCAAAGGGTTGCAGTTTGGGGTCCATTGTAGTAAAATGTTGCCACCTCTCCCCAGGTATTCGCATCCTGCGCCAGGATCCTATCGAATGTCTGTTCTCATTCATCTGTACCACCAACAACCACATCTCACGTATCACGGGAATGATCGAGCGAGTGTGCAGCACTCTGGGAAGACGCCTGTGCCGACTAGACTCTGTGGATTATTTCTCGTTCCCCAGTCTCCAGGCGCTGGCAGGTAAGCGGTCACTCTAAGCATTGATTACCTGCAATCAAAAGCAAAGAGCATATAGATTTGATATAGGGCCCAGTTGTTTACAGCCAGGCTTGGCTTGTGTTATTAAACAAAAATCATTAAATATAATGGAAAAGGAATTGTCCCTTTATTATATACAATAGAGGTAGGTGAGGAGCACCATACACAAGGTAAAAGTCTTGGAAACACCAGCGAGTTGGAAAACAACTATCACATTATTGGTTTATGACATAAAACATAGTAGTAGGCTCAGGGTATTGCGCCTCCCCCTTCTTCAAGACATTGGTAGTGTTAGATCTGTTGGTCATGACGCTTGCACAATATGAAAATATGATTTTGGTGTTCCGGAGTATCTGTTGCTCCTGCAGTGACAAAACATTTGCAGAAAAGCAACCCCAAACCATAACATTTTCACCATCCTGCTTCACAGTTGATATGAGGTTCATCTTTTGAAATGCTGATTTCAGCTTACGCCAAAAGGTAATTGCTAGGCATGAAAACAATTTTAAAAATCCTGTGTTACGCGGTTTCCACAAGCTCCCCCCGAGGTTTTTTGGGGCCAAAACTCACACCTCTGCCCAAAAGAAGCTTGTGTACTTTTTCCCTCTACAGGCGTTTTGCTACAAACAACAGAACACTCACACGTGCACAGGGGACATCGGAAATAATGGAATTTTTGCTGTTGAGCGTTGCAGCACTTCGACATTTGAGTTACAAATGCTCAGGTGTGAATGGGGCCTAAGGAGGTTCTGATTGGCACCTTGTCTTGAACACTTGATTCTAATTTCATGGATTTGAAGGGGCGGTTTATGTAGGGATGTACTTACTTTTCCCACATGCCAAAATTGCATTTTCGTTCTTAAACTCCGGGCATATAAAAAAATGTAGAAAAACCGGAATGGCTGCAAGCGGCTAAAATTCAATTTCCTTCTTTTCCATTTCATTTCTTTTCTTCTTCTTTTTCTTCCTTTTGCAGTCCGGTTTTTCTTCTCCATTTCCTCCTTTCTGATAGCGCAGAACATTTGTTTTATCATATTAAAAAAATGTACCCTTGCAGTGGGGCTACCCCCACCCTGCAAGTGTTAAGTTTTGGTCTAGGGACTGGAATAAAACAGAATTACTCACCTAATCCCGGCTTCCCCTGGGCTGCTGGACCGGTCCCTGCAGCTTCTTCTTCCCCGAGCTCTGGTGGGCTAAGAACAAATAAGAGAACAAATACAGTATCTGTATTAGTGTGATATCTGTATGTATGTGTCCGTTTTATTTGTCATTTAGTCGAGTGTATCAGCTTTATCTGTCGGCACCATTTGAATGAAGGCCTATTGTTTGCCTGGCAACAGAAGCAAACACATCGCGCTTCTAGAAGTTCCGTCCTTTATTCTGCATCCCGCAGAACATACTACACATAACTCGGTTGTCATACATGTGTAATTCCGTGTAGTTATGTAAGACATTATGTGTCAGAGGTGTCTGCAAGTTTAATCCATCATGTTGACATTGGCGGCAGCGTTATGTAACGCATTGTTTGGTGATTGACCCGTATTGTCGCCTTGTTTCGCACCACAGCTGACAACACCGAGGCCAAGTTACGAAACCTGGGCTTTGGGTACAGAGCAAAGTTTGTCAGCGAGAGCGCGCGGACCATCTTACATAAGCACGGCCCGGACTGGTTGGAGAGCCTTCGCCATGTTTCCTATGAAGAGGCAAAGAGGGCGCTCAGCGCTTTGCCTGGAGTCGGAGCTAAAGTGAGTATAGTTTCAAGTCATTCAAATGGTAATCTCAGTAGCTCAGCTCATCCTGTTCCCTCTCTCAGAGCTCCTGCTTAGTCTTCACATTAAGGATTGGAAGGCTGTTGGAGGTGAAACAAGGTGAGCTCCTGAGTCACTGCTAGGAGGGGGAGCTGAGATGCTAAGTCATTGCTGGATGAGAGAGCAGGGGGATAGGAGTCACAGCTTGAAGGGGGAAGCAAGAGGAGCTGATTGACTTCTGGGAGGGGGGAGCTGTGCTGCTGAGTTACGGCTGGATGAAGGAACAGGATGACATGAGCTACTGAGCCACTGCTGGGAGGGGGGAGCAAGGGAGCGGAGTCACTGCTGGGAGGAAAGAGGAAAGTCTGAGCTGCTGAGTTATTTCTGAAGGGGGGCGTTCAGCTGCTGAGTCCCTGCTGGCTGGGGTGGACTGAGTCCCTGCTGGCTGGGGTGGACTGAGTCCCTGCTGGCTAGGGTGGACTGAGTCCCTGCTGGGAAGAGGGGCTAATTCACTACTGAAACGGGGAGCTGAGATGCCAAGAGAACAACTTAAACAACTTCGGTGCATTTGTTGAGTTGATGGCCTGATGGCAAGTTTGTAATCTAGCACGTCTGACTTTTCTCTGGCTTTCCTGATTTGCATACTGGTCAGTAACGCAGAAAATATTGAAGTCGGGGGATCTAGATGACAGCCAGACAACCAGAATGTTGAGAAGGAGGTCCACAGTGGCAGATTTCACATCATGACGGTTAACAGGAAACCTGTAAGGCTAGAAAACAAAAGGGAGCTCCTATTGCTGACTTATTTTAAAAGATGCCAGCTCCAGGGCTGTTGGGGACAAGCCTAGTGAGTCACAGACCTAAAAATGGCCCCTAATATGTATTTAGTAGTGTGAGTAATTATATCATGATTTAATTTGGGGCTTTCTAAATGTTATCTTCTCTTGGGGTTCTTTCTGAGAGCCTTTATGACCAGGGGCATCCCCAGGCCTGGTGTCACCCAGAGCGGCCACCAGGTGACACCCCACTGGGACGTCACACACGCTTACCTGCAAAGAGAGGAGGAGACGTTTACCCGGCGGGATGAGGTATGCCGCCGGGTGCCCTCCTCGCCCGTGCAATTGTTGGGCTCTCGGTCCATGACTTGACCGCTTGACTTGACTTGATGCTTGACTTTTCAGAGGGGGTGACACCAAAATGACTGTGAGTCATTTTGGTGTCACCTGGTGCGGGCCGCACCCCCCTTGTGACGCCACTGATTATGACTCACTTTAGCTGGATGTCCCTTTAAGAAAAAGTATCGGTAATTGGTATCGGCAAGTACATGAGGGGATGTACTTGTACTTGGGCCTGAAAAAGTGGCATCGGGACATCCCTAATGTGAACCATTGTTTGACCATTGTGATTATTGCACTGCCAGTTATGTGACTGGGGAAGGGGGAGCGGTGCAGAAGGGTGTATATCATATATAAGGATGAGCTCGGGCGCGTTCGTAGCTCCACATGCCGAGCCCGCCAGAAAGCTGACAGCGTGCAGCGCCAGTCACAGGCACTGAGACATTTCCCGATCTCTGCAGCTGCGTCGATCCATAATGTATGTGATTTTAGGTCGCTGACTGTGTTTCCCTGATGGCGCTGGACAAACCTGAAGCCGTACCAGTGGACACCCACGTCTGGCAAATCGCTAACAGGGACTATCTGCCTCAGCTCGGCCAGGGGAAGAAAACCCTCACCGATCGCCTTTACCGGGAGATTGGTAAGAATATTTCATGATTGTTGCATCACCTATACTGATCCGCCCATATCCTCCCACCATCAATCACAGACCTTTCTTCATTGTTCTGGTTGATTTGGAATGTGGTTGTTATGTATTACTGCACAATGTGCCTTATCACTGCCCGTTGCTCTGCCTTGTATAAGCCAATGTGTTTTGGACCCGGAGGCCTTTTTCACATTGTGTAGGAAAACAATGGAAACCCTCCATCCTAGACAAGAATCCAGCCCACTGCTACCATGAAAACCAACAAACTAACTAAAACACTAAAAAATAAAATACAAACTAACCTAATACTAAAAAATGATGATATAAGCAGCACAGTTCGAGCCTGGCAATAAAAACATTTACTGCAATTAGGCAGCATTATATATTGTATAGACAGCATAGGCCAGTATAAATAGTGCAAATAGATACTCTATATGTAACTCTCCAAATAGAGGCTAAATCATACAAGAATCGGGTATCTCATATCTGCAATCATTAAAGCTGAACTCCGGCATTCCCTTCAGTCTCGCACAGTTGTACCGGCTCTTCTCCTGGACTGTAATCATTTTCTCTGATATCACTGCACACTGCGAGCTTCTCACCATGTGCATTAAACGCTGCAGCAAACCAGATAGAGCCCTACTCATTTCCTGGCTGGAGGACGCCCAGCATAATTTAGCTCTCTCCTCCCCAGCCTGACTGTCCCTGGCCCGCCCCTTTCATTCATTGGATTTCATGCTTGCTAAGCTGAATAGTCCTCGGTAATGCCCCACAAGCCGCTCCATATCTCACGCCCACAACCCAGGCAATACGGCCTCTCGCGATGACATTTCCTGGTCCCTCCCTACGTGTTTTATCACAAGGACATATTGTTTCACACACTATTCATATTGGCCTATTAAAGATATTTGTATACAGTATATGAGCACTGCTTCATTTTTATCATCTTATTCTACAAATCTTTTTATATTATTTGTTGTCTTTCTCTTTATTTTTGGCAACTTCAGGTATTGGGCCATTCATTTATTTATGGTTGGAAGCCCTGCCAGTTTTAGCTCAGCACGTTCACCCTCACCTTTCCTAATATGCTGTTTTTTTTTCCCCTGCAGGGGATTATTTTCGGAACCTGTGGGGTCCATATGCTGGATGGGCACAGGGGGTAAGCAGAGGTTTCATCAGCTGCTGTGTATTGTAACACCTTAGATCTGTACCTTCATCCGTTCATTGGGGACAGAACGTCTGGTTGTCAAGGACTGCTCATCACATGAGTACCCCAGTACTTGTTACAGTGCACTGACCTGGAACAAGTATATAGACAAGGAATTCCAACTTTTCTCTGACTACATGAGTCTGAATTGTTCAGGCCAGACACAGCCAGGCAACTAGCTTTTTTCAGAAAGAGTCCAACCATGTCAGCCAGCATAGATCTGTCATGGCAGATGCGCTTTAAGACAAAATCTGGAGCAGATTTGCACTGCAAGCAATCAGCTTCTCTGTCTCATTTTTTAAATCTTACCCGAGCAAACTGGAGAGAGATGCTGATTGGTTGCCAGGGGCAACTGCTCCAGATTCTTCTGCTCCAGTTTTGATCAATTCCCGTCATTGTGTTCAAATTAAACAAAACTGACACAAGTCAATCACTTTTTTTTTAGTGTTTATTGTTGTTAACATCATTGTAATTCCTTTAAAGTGTGTGTAAAGGGATCCTTTCTTTTATAGTTTTAGGCCTCATTCACACTGCGCTAACTTGGTGCGTACACGTCCGTGCGGCACACACACCCGTATCGGGCCATTCCCGGGAGGGACAGGTGCTGCGTGTAGCAGCCTGTTCTTCCCTATGGTAGAACGCGGTAGTATGCACACCCGAAGTGCACATCCGAGCAGGTGTGGGTATCCATGCTCGGACGCAGACAGGATCCATCCTTTCTGCGCCTGAGTACGGGCACCCGGACCTGTACAGGTGTGCGTATGATGGCGTATGACTGCGTCCTCCTATAGGGAAGAACAGGCTGCTACACGCAGCACCGGTCCCTGCCGGGAATAGCCATGTACACCCTGAGTTAGCGCAGTGTGAATGAGGCCTTGCTCATTCTGCAGAGAGTCACCCCTCTGTTTGTCTTGGTGGCCATTGTCACCAAGACATAAAGTAAAGGAAAGACAAACATTTTGAGTTGCCATAAGAACAAGAGGTGAGGGAAAATCCTCCAACAGGGACACCTTTACCTATGACTGTTATCTAAGAAGGGCATTCCGTTCACAGGAAGTGAAGGGAGACCTCCCTGGTGGGACACAGACTATCTTAAAGGAGAACTATGAGGTGAGTGCTTTTCACTCACCTCATAGTTCTAGCCGACCTGTGACAATGAAACTGTCACAGGTCGGCTCAGTGGATCGGGAAGTGAGCGAACACATACCGGCGTTTGCTCACTTCTCGATCCTGTCACGGCTCTCTGCCGTGACAGGCGAGGGACTGGATTCCCAGCTCCGATCCTCCAGCGCTGACTGGCGGAACAGCCGGGGGAGGGGGCGGGTACAGCTGGCTCTGTCTCTAGATAGGCAGAGCCAGCTATCACTCACACAGCTGGGCGGATCCAGACATAATTGTCGGGATCCGCTTCAGCTGCGGCGTCTCAGTATACCGCGAGTTGTAGCTCGCTGTATACTGAGCTTAGGGTGACGGGAGGACGCTAGTTTGTGTCCTCCCGTTACCCTAAGGGGAGCTATGGGGAAAAGCCCTAACCCCATAGTTCTCCTTTAAACTAAAAAAATTGCCATTTCCATATTCTTAAAGTGACACTGAACTCAGGAGTTAAATCTTAAAAATACATTCAAGTATCTTAACTATTAACAAAAATGTATCTTATTTGTGTATCACTCGGCTGTAGATCCTCAAATCATCTCTGAATTGGTGCTGACTCTGTCCTCCCTTCTGGAGGGGGACTACTTTTCGCCCCCATTGTCCCTGTGTGTGTTATAAAGTAGTCACCGCTCAAAGCTCACTCTCATGTTTAATTTAATAATTTGTATAGAGATTGTAGGCCATCACAGGAGCAAGCTTGGAGCGGTGACTACTTTACAACACCCACAGGGACCATGGGGAACAAAAGTAGTCACCCTCCAGAAGGAAGGACAGTGTCAGCACCAATTCAGAGATGATTTGAGGATCTACAGCCGAGTGATACACAAATAATATACATTTTTGTTAATAGTTCAGGTTCTTGAATGTATTTTTGAGATTTAACTCCTGAGTTGTGTGTCACATTAATGTAAAAAACAAAATTGGCATTTACATACGCTTAAAATGTATTCTTTGCACTTTGGCTGCTGTCCATCTCTTCCAGCAGCTGATGTACCATATTAAAGCAGCACTACACTCACGTCTGTTGTTATCAATGTGGCATCTGCAAGATATCTTTCTGGCAAAATCATCGCCAGGCTGCTTCCGACTTCGGGAACTTCGGTCACTCTGATTAGCTAGGTTGAAATGACATAACTTCTGCACATGCACAAGGGAGTGGATTTATCCCGGAACCTGACAGATGCTGGGTCAGTACACTGAGCTGCGCATGCACAACTCAGTGTAAAGGGTTTGCATGGAGGAAGGTATTGCAGAGAAGACATAGAGGGGAATTTATCAAAACTGGAGCAGACACAATCTTTAGCAGCTGTTCATGACAACCAATCAGCTTCTCTATTTCATTTTCAAGTCATAACGGAGCAAATTGAAGATAGAAGCTGATTGGTTACTATGGGCAACTGCTCCAGTTTATGTCTGCTCTAGATTTAATACATCCCCCCCATAGTGTTATATACTACGTTTTGGAATCTCCCAGACAACCTGATATCGGAAAACACCGATTACTACCCATTACTGCACACTCTCCATGGCCAGCAGGTGTCGCTGTTCCACTGCTGTGAACAAGTTCCCCCACTTTGCATCTGGAGCAGATTTGCACAGTCTGATCCCAGCATGCTATCTCAGCCACCGTGGAACCATAAATCCCAGCATGTCCTGTCATCCATAATGCAGACACAGGTGCCCAGCTGGCAGAGTGCCTTCACAACTACTTACTTGCATATTTGGGGGTAACAACACACCGGCTGCAGTTAGCAGGTAATTCAGTGATAGGAGTGAAAGTTGAACATTTTGTGGCATGATTCTGAGGCTACAAAAGAAACAGGAGTGTCTTACTGTGAGGAGGTTTAGGTGTTTTTTAGGGCATTTTGGGTGTCTTAAAGGAGAACATTGGGGTTAAGGCTTTTCCCCATAGTTCTCCTTAGGGTAACGGGAGGACACAAACTAGCGTCCTCCCGTCACCCTAAGCTCAGTATACCGCAGCTGAAGCAGATCCCGACAATTGTGCCGGGATCCGCCCAGCTGCGTGACTGACAGCTGGCTCTGCCTATCTAGGGGCAGAGCCAGCTGTACCCGCCCCCTCCCCCGTCCGTTCCACCAGTCAGCTCAGGCGGATCGGAGCGGGGAGTGGTGGAATCCAGCCCCTCCCCTGTCACGGCAGAGAGCTGTGACAGGATAGAGAAGTGAGCGAATGCCGGTATGTGTTCGCTCACCTCCCGATCTACTGAGCCAACCTGTGACAGTCTCATTGTCACAGGTCGGCTAGAACTATGAGGTGAGTGAAAAGCACTCACCTCATAGTTCTCCTTTAAGGTGGACCTATCATCAGATATTTTCATGTTAAGTGCATGTATGCTGGGTAATGTGTAAGTGTAACACCTCCAGGTATTTATTGGCTCTCACAGAGATCACAGTACTCTCACTGGCAAGGCCTTCTTCTGCTTTTCTCTCCAGAAGGATGACGCCATCTTTGTTAAGTTATCATCCATGGTCAGTATCAACTCAGTGGCCTGAGGTGCCGGCTCAGAGATGATGCATGTACACAAATGTCTGATACAGATCAGCCTTCTACTGCAGACTGTTACCTTGTGACTTTCTACAAATCCTCTTATTTTTGGGATGTGTGAGAAAATGAGACATGTGAATATCTTCTTTTGTAAGAAGGCTTTACTGTGCTACGCAATGATTCAGTTGTAGCGCTTTCAGATTACTTTAGTCCATGCGTGGGCAAACTCCGGCCCTCCAGCTGTGGTCCAACTACAAAACCTATGAGGCGTTGCAAGACTCCGACAGCCGCAGGCATGACTTCCGGAGGCAGATGCATGATGGGATTTGTTGTTTTACCGCAGCTGGAATTTGCCTACCCCTGCTCTAGCCCTCCTCACCATAACCTGTGTTGTCATCCTGCCAGGTGACTGATTTACCTTATAGCACTGAGTGTAGCTCTTCTTTAGGTTTCCATGTTATATTGCATCTTGTTCTCTTTCATTGTTGGAGGGGATATGAGGTCACAGTTTGGGAAATGGGAATAACATTTTTTCTCTGCAATTGCTTCCATGTCTCCAGGTCTTATTCTGTTCCGACCTCAAGAAGTTCCAGAGCCCCGACAAATCCCAAAAAGCCAGGACGAGTAGAAAGAACAAATTAAAACAGGAAAACTCGATGTCTTGAAAAATGTAAATATTTTTGTTGTTGCAAGTTCATCATGAATTAAATGTTTCCTTTGTATGCTTGTGTGGCACTTGTGTTTTTATAATGTATGTCAAGAAAACTTAGGAAGCTCATATTCAGTACATCTATGAGGGGAATGTATCAAAACTGGGGCAGACAAAATCTGGAGCAGCTGTGCATGGCAACCAATCAGCTTCTCTCTTTCATTGTCAAATCTTACCTGATCAAACTGAAATGAGGAGCTGATTGGTTGCCGTGCACAGGTGCTCCAGATTTTGTCTGCTCCAGTTTTGATACATCCCTCCCTATGTGTGTGTATATACATTATATATCATCACATTCTCCTGTTTTTCTCTCATTAAAAAATTCTGCAAGTACAGAAAAGTACAGAAAAACACCAGAAATCATGTGAGCTCCTAAATTCCTATTTTTACTGACAACACAGTGTGCGTGAGACCACAGGCCTCCGTCTATTATGTCTCACCCCCTCCGTCTATGCCTCAACCCCTCCGTCTATGCCTCAACCCCTCCGTCTCTTTCCACATGTAATCATTACTTTCTTTCCCAGCAAGACAATGCTGCTGCCTTGAGTTGGGGGGGGGGGGGGCTGCAATAGGAACTGATCTCCAAGCAGCTGCCCCTGCAAGAGTGTCACAAACCTGCTGATGATGTCACAGGGAGTAATATAAATTGTTTCTCAATACAGGAACACAGTAAGCAAAAAAAAAAAAATGGGAGAGGGTGGTTTGGGGGTAAATTTGGCTCATGTCTATACAAATCCTTAAGGGCTCATGCTCATGTGTGCTTGGGTCTGCACAATGTAAATATGGGAATATTGAAACATGCTGCGAAAAGTAAACTTTCCCTTAAAGGGCTCATGCACAGGGGTGCCGCGGCCGGTACAATGTAAATTTTGGGAGTATTTCCCCACCCGGGAGCCACAGGTGCTGCCTATAACTGCCCATAGAAATCAATGGCTGCATGCGGGTGTTCTGGGGTGTATGTCTGTATGCATGCATGTGCTTAACCAAGTACCGGCGTATTCCTGCGTACAGCCGCATAGAGCCATTCATTTGTGTCGGCGGTTGTAAAGAGCACCTGTGGCCTCCAGGTGGGTACATACTCCGCAATGTACATTGTACGGCCCCTGGTACCCATGTGCATGAGCCCTTTAAGTTTACTTTTCTCAGCATGTTTTCATGTTATACCCATATTTATGGTGCAGCATGAAACATGGTCACATCCCTAGCCCCTCCCCCACTCTCCCTTTCCACCCACTTACCTGAATCACAGGCTTCTTTTCCCTGCAGGCTGCTTTCAAATTTTGTCTGGCTCGACGTGGTTCTTCCCGCACAGGATCTGTGAATGAAGAGACTACAGGTCCTAACTGCCACTGCGGCAAAGTGACTCGTAGTTCTCAATGAAGTATAAGTGCAGGGACATCACTGCACTTGTAGTCCATTGACATTTCCTCCAGTCCCATAACTTAAGGTCCATACCTCGGTACAAACAGGATCTTGGAGGAAGAGTCTGCAAGAAACTGAGCATTGCACCCTCCATCCAATGGTGGCAGTTGGAATGCTTTACTGGCTGTCATGCAAAAAATAATAAACGCACTTTGATCCTGTGTGAATATGTGTGCATTTATAATTTTTTTTGTAAAAGGTGGACTAATCCTTTAAGGAGGGTTAAAGCACTTTAGAAGATTTTCAGTGACACCAATGCTACCTCTCATTTGCTATAAGATAAGATGGTCGGGTGAATTGTGTTTACAGCTCGCCGTGAAGATTAATAATCTGCAGCACCTGACACCTTCTGAATGGGTCTGTTATGCCTATTTGGGTCTTTGGATTTCTTCAATTGTTTTAGGAGCTCGGTTTAATTAGATATGTCATGTTAATCCCCTGGCTTCAATACTTTCTGTATCATTGACCGGACGTACTATTCTGCCTTCGCTTGCAACAGTGTGGTTACTAGTACATTGCATTCAGTCCAACATGTCTTCATACAGCTCCATCAGCAGCATTTCAGTGGAAGGCTGAGTGAGTCAGTGCTAGCCCAGGTTGTGAGCCTGGAAGGGATGGTGGAAGAGATGATACATTCAGCTGTGTTGACTGCCGAGTATTAGGAGAACAATGTCAGATTCAGGAGATGATAATGCGATGCAAGCCTGGGCTTGTGCTGGAAGTGGCGTTGGTGTGTCTCATTATTAGGGCACGCCGTCATCATTTAAAACATCCTGACCTAGTATAAAGATTAACTCGTGGCACCTCCGTTCTCCAAGTCTAGCCTTTAAAGGAAACCTGTTATGAGAAAAGCAGACATTGCTGACCTCTGACACCTGAATATGCTAGTCGCCTGGACTGCAACTGGTTTGCAATTCTCACTTTTGAATCTGCAGATCAGATTTGTTGTCGCCATTGACAAGTATTTAAGCCAAGTGGTCAATATGACAGCCAGGCAAGTAATCGGGGTAATCAGGCAGTCTTGTGATTTGAGGCACCACGACCAGATCCCTGGCCTCACTTTTTCCCCACTGCAGTTAAAGCAGTACAGCCTGGTCGCACTGCTGGTTGGATGGTGTAGGAGCAGCTCACCGATGAGGTGTTCAAAATCTCAAGTCAATCAAGCAGATCAATTGAGCTCGCTGCAATAGCCAATATGCACCTTCGTGGTTACCTCTGAGTCTATCAATGGAACTCCTACTGAGTGGGGGGACTACAGGAGGCTAATATAAAAACAGATAAGGTACAATATAAAAGTATGTTCATAATTTCCTCTACCTGAAAAAGAATCCTCATACTTACCTTTTTCCAGGTGTCTTCCGTTTCGGTGATGTTACAGGTCCCTGTCACCTTACTCCTCCAGCTGTGCCACGTTAGTCTAGCACATGGGGTGGATTCATGACTCCCGGGGTTCACAGTAAGGAGTTTGATGCCGCTGGGCCCTGGATATCTGTGCAGGTGAATCTGCAGGAGACAGCCTAGAAGAAGTGGTGAGTACAGCAGTCATAGCTCCTTTTTTAAATAATTTTTGTGTGCTGCTGGTGACTTAATTTTTACTTTTTTTTTTGTCCAAGATGGAATTAAAGTTAATGGATTTTTTTTTTTTATTGTATCCAAAAATTAGTTAAATTAGAGTCTTTGATAATAAACTATAGTAGGCGTCAGCAATTGCGGCACTTCAGCTATGGGGAAACTATAAATGTCATCATGCTTCTGGGAAGCAGCACCTCATGAGACTAGTAGTTCCACAGCAACTGGAGTGACAAGGTTGCCTACCCCCGCCCTACAGTTTTGGGGAGGTGTCACTGTTTACTGTGTGGTGTTGGCAGCTGTGGAGAACCCTCCAGAAAAGACAGCTTTGTCCTATGCTGTTTGCAGATTCACTCATGTGTATTGTCCCCAGTCCTTAAACACACACACCGGGACGGTGTCTGACATATGAATTTTTTACGCAGATGTTTCTGCATCCCCATGTACATGGCATTATATGGTCACTCTGCTTTCAAATACTATTTAAAATCCTAGTAATCCCAGTATGGTTCCTGTACACAGATCAGCCATAATATTATGACCACTGAAGTGGATAACATTGATTATCTGGTTCAATGGCACCTGGAAGTGGGGGAGGATATGTTACAATGGCACCTGGAAGTGGGGAGGATATGTTACAATTGCACCTGGAAGTGGGGGGGGGGGGGGGGAATTTGG